ACTTAACGGTCTACTGATCACATATCTGCTCTATGGAAAGTACCGTTCTCCAAACGATTCTTCCCAAATGCCATCTTTATTAGTCCATGATCTCCCCACTCTTCGTTCCACGCATTCATCGCCAACCAATATTCTCGAACGGAATCGGCTCCCCAACCAATAATTTTGATTACATGTAAGCAGTCGACTTCCTTGGTCGTTGGCACGTAAACTCCAGACTTGTAATATCTGAAATCTTTGTACATCTCGAAGGCGCTGAAGACCTGAAACGGCAAAATACTCCAAGCATAGCATCGCCGTGCGTATGCATCGTAATCGAATTGTACTTGCAATGACTCAACTTGAGTCTGAACTCGTCTGCCCGTGGGCTCGAGCTATTCATCCAAGAAAGATTCTACGCAATCGATAAGTGGCGCAGCGTCCATGATTCTTGAGATCACATGAATGAGGATGAATCCCTCCTACGGTAAGAGTTCTACCAATTGATAGAAATATGCTCAAACTTCACAATAAAAGTTTCACAGGAGTTTTGAGAAGTTTCCATTCCCGAGTCCAGGTCACATGGACTGAGCAGCTTACTGGGCCATTATCGAATATCTCCTGCTTGATGCTCTGAGCATCATTCAATACTTTCCTCCAGCTTTTCGCACGGTGAACATCTCTGACGTCGGAACGAATACCAGCTCCCCACCTGAGTTCCTCTCACTTCTCTAAGCTTTTCTTATATGCCTTGTTGGTGCATGTTGTTCGACATGGAGGGACAGGCTGCTGAACCACCTACGGTCAGAGAACTTACCATACGGGATCCTGCGATTGACTCACATCCTTGCATTTCGGGTATCCAGTTCCTTCCGTTGGTACATGATTGCACTTCTGGAACGGATACGGCCAGCAACCATCAGCCTCACGCAGTTGATCCTGTGGCTTGAAGTCATTACCTTCAAGGGTTAGGATTGATGTTCACAGATCAGTTGATCTACAGCAGAGATTCCTACCAGTCACGACACCATGATCTCGCAAAAAACTCATGGCTTCAACAAGTCTCCCACCATTGCAGCCCTTCGCACTGAAAATGAGATGTGTCTCAATTTTCACTCACATTGTGAAAAGAAAAAAGCGATGCCAATCAGCCATTATTCGCGGTTGGAATTTACTGGAGGCATCCATGTGCGGGATTGCAGCAAGAAGTGACGTAACCAGCGGACAGAATCTCCTGGATTTTGCCACTGGACTTGATACACAGGCGATCGTTTAAGACTTCAGTGGGACATACTGCCCAACAGTTACCACACCTTCCTTGATCTCTGAGCGATACATCCTTATCAGGAAGTGACCGTGGAAGCAGCAGCGAGGATCACCTCACATGGCCGATGACATCACGACAATAGTTGAACTTTTGACGGGCGTCGAATTCCGGCGGCAAATTCTCTACCACTGGCTTAGTGGACTCGACAAGACGAATCTCCTCGTCGGAACTCTCGGAGAAGGAGCACCCTCGAGGAAGGTCTTCAACTGACATACCTGTGAAATAGTAATCTCAAACTTCAGGTTCATCACTGGAAGAGGCGTGACTGAAGGTCTGAATCTGTGACATACTCCTGAAACGCGGCTGATCCTTCGAAGCAGTCCACGAATCCTGCATCGAGTTGATAGTATCAACTACGGATTGCAGTAAGACCGGCTTGGTGTCGTTGAAGATCTCAACCAAGCGCTCAGACGACGTGCTCGTCTGCAGAAATTCTACTTTCACTTGATTTGTGAAACGGTGAAAATGCTGCTCATCTTCGTCGGGAGTATAAACAGACCCTGACAAGAGAACAGTAGCTTTGAGGTCAGAACACGTCAAGTATTCCCACCGGATTGCTTCATGATGTGATCGAATAGGCCTCGAGGATCCAAGTCGTCGCCCCAAACTGGAAGGATAAGGAAACGCAGCAAGATGGTCAAGGGCTGACCAATCATTTGGTATGAACTTAATGCCACGAGCTGATGGCAAACTCCAGCGTCTCCTTGATCAAGTCAACACTACTTGCAACAACTCAACGCTGGCATCGGCGCTAGATGATGAGTCATCAGAAGATGTTTAAAACTCGCTATCGAAGTTCAAACATACCCCGACGCTACCGAGAAACAAGATCCTCAGGAGTTTCCCTCATTCCAGAGTCCTTTTGCATTAGCAATATCGATCAACTCGCGTACTTCACGTAAAACGCTATCAATGAACAAGATTCCGCATGACCTTGGGCAGGAGAGCGCATCAACGGATCACTCAGGAAGGGGGACGGACAATGAGAGAGCGAAGTCCGTAGCCCGCATCCCCCCGGGCGGGAGGGTGGGCAAACAAAAAGAATACCCATTGACGGTCGTTAGAGACCTCAGCGCGTGGGCTGACTACGGCCACCGCGTGACACGGCAGGATGACCTCTCGCCAACTGCACATGCGTGCGGGTCTCCTCCGGCCCCCGAGAGTTTTACTTCGTTACACACTTGTACCGTCCAATAAAACTCTTCCAAGGGTCAGTTAGTACCACCTCAAACAATGGGCAGGAGAGCGCACCAACGTATCACTCAGGGAGGGGGACGGACAATGAGAGAGCGAAGTCCGTAGCCCGCATCACTGCTTTTACTGCGGATTTACCGGATTTTTACTGCGATTGGGGTGTCGATTTGTGACAACTCATTTGTCGCGTGTGATGGATGCATATTTAAGATGAATGATGAGGGGTTCTTAGCGGTCTCCGGCGGTGCATCTCTGCGGCGACGCGGCATTCCTGTAGTACTATTTCCTTTACAAAATAGGTGTTTGCTTCTCAGGCTGAACTGCGTCACTAATCCGTCACTTTGATATGTAGATGTTCTACAGAAGAACAACCAGTTCCGTTGCAGAGCAGCTACGGAAACTTTTTCTCCCCAGCTTAGCTTCGTTGCGTAGTGATAGTACGATACCCGATTCAGGTCTCTGAGATACCACAAGTCTACCACGACACACACTTTTCTCGTTTACATCAACGTTGCGACCGCCTTTCCATCATCATTCTTGTCTTCACGCCACCAATCCTGGCTGCGATATCAATATGTCCTGAGATGCATACATGGAAGAGTCATATCCTTCTACTACATCTCGCTGGCGATCTGCCCAACATATTGGTGATAAACGTCTAGACCTTCCCGAACCAGATACAGTCTTGGAAGAGTATTTTTGACGGAGGAATCCGTTTGATTGGATATTGTGCTTGACATCACATTCGGCAGTAGTAACCGTGGCCTCAATTTCGGGCGATCATAAATACCCGGAGTATTCCCTGTGGTTTATGATGTTGAAGACTGATAGTCGTGGTTCAGCCTCGATGTTGTTTCCTCCGCTCTCACCGTACTTTTCGGCCCAGCAGAATATATCTCACCGTATGATATTTAGAATTATGTGTATACTCCTTTGACCTACTACTCGTTATACTCATTTTTTTACTGCCTTCCGCGAAACGTGAGGCTCTCTCCGAGTATAGGCTATACTAGATATACTGTATAGCATCTGCTTTGCACGCTGCGAGTTTGGTCAGCCCTCTGCCGTGTTGTGTAATCGAACAGAAGGATCTTAGAGGTTACCGCTAGCTTATGTGTACTTCATAACAAAGCGAAGATGTACTCAATACTATTAGGGCTCCATGAGCGGACTCTGCTAATGTGAGGAGCATATGAGAGTACTAGAGCAGAGCAACCTCTCCTTGACAAAAGAGCAGCGCCGCACTCGGCAACAAGAGAAAAATGTCACTCTCGGCGAATGATATCGTAGTAAAGTACCTTAGTATGTTTATCATATGCTGCAAAATGCGCACGAGGCACCTCCAATAGGCTTAGCGAGCACCTCGTCTACGAGGACAACTATGTTCGAGTGAAGCAAGCACCCCTGGAGGCGTTGGGCATATGGAGCTCGCATCATCCAGCACTCTCTCAACAACCATTCCACGTTGAAGATTGATCTAGGTGCACATCCCGGACGTGTGAGGGTATAATGTTATGATCCGGATGTGACATCCGGATCAGCACAACGTACCCGGAGCAGCAAGTCCGCTATGAGGGCGCGGCATTTATGTTCGCGAACGACAGTAGAGTTGAACTTGCCGCACAATACGAGCGGATGATGGTGGTTCCACCTAGGAGCAAGCCCTAGGGGTAATTTGCCTATGCTGCAGTACGGATGACAAACTCTACTGCTTTTATAGACTATAAATTATAGTATCTCTTTTATGCTTCGTGTGATTTTACTTATCAACTGTCATCATGACAATGTTATGGAAGGGAGTGCCGGTGCTGTTAGTCGGAGCTATCGACGGAGGCTGCCATTTCCGCCTCCTCACCGACATCATATCTGCCCGTGAGAATGCGACGGCTGTGCAGGCTGCTATGGGAGGCATCAAAGAGAAAGCAACTGCCATCGGAGTGGACCACTCACGACTAATATTATTCGCAGCCTGCAAATTGCAGGTTCTGCATCCATCTTCAGCAAGGCTTGGGAAGAGGTGAGCTCAGCTCACTGAGCTGTATAAGCCTGTAGCCGTAGAAGCAGTAGTCATCAATTCTAAACAATGCGTTTTCGAGAAATAGTGCCAGTTGACTGGCGAGTTCAGTAACTAAGCTCACCACTCAAACCAAACTTTGGTCTGTATCACTAATTGTCCGAGCTCTATGGACTCATTCTCTATGAAACGTATAAATGTTACGTAAGCTGAGAATGACATAAGTCGATTGAGACAGATGTATGTCTACTACGTATGTGGTAGCTATGTCATCGAGAATATCGTATATGGTCAGTAGTTAACTATGTTATTTACGCTATCAGGCGCTCGATAGATGGTTGACAAATGTGATATGGTATGCT